ACAAGCCCTCTTTAAAAAGCGCAACGAAGAATACAGTCTTCAGAGTCAAGGAACTTTACACGAAATAGGTTGTATGGAGACGATTGATGGAGAATTCGTATATCAGGTTATACGTTACCGTCAATCACATTGTGAAAGGTACTTTGAAGGGTGGATTCTCAAATTTGCGTACGATGAGATGCACACTGAACAACGCTGAACAACGCTGTTTCAACCGAAATTTGCTAGAGAAGTGTTCAGATATTTAAGATCCATAACGGATCCACGACAACAACATAATTTGTGCCCGATTCTTCTATTTTCTCTTTTATTTGAAGTCTAATAGGGTAAAACATTTAAGTTTCTTTAATACAATTAATAATGTAAACTTTTGGCCATCTTTCGATCCCATTTGGTTCACTCACGTTTAAGATATAGCCTCTGCGTAAACACCTTCAAACGCCACTCACCTGGTTGAAAAGGAAAGCGTTCAGATGTAGCACCCTTCCGGTGCCTAGCTGCCATGCCACCCGAAGGAAGCTGGGATACTGCCAGGTTTCCTAAGCCTAGACAGGGAAGTCGAGTGGCGGAGGTCGGATTCCAACCACGAACCTTCCGGTCAGTAATTTCGCGCTCTACCCACTTGGGCCATCTCGCCCCCGATGAAAAGGAAAACCAATGGTTACAGTTTCCCAAAAGGTACGCCCGTAAATGCTCTTGAACATATAGCCTTTGTACACCTCACTGCATAAGGCGGTGGTTTTCCAAGATGGCAGAGGCTCCAGCTCTGACTGTATACCTGAAACTGCCTAAGGGTAAATCTGGGTAGCAGTTTTGGGTGATTGCTCCAGGGACATGAAAATTTTACAGGAAGTTGAACCCTAAATTTTTCAAGGCGTTTGTCCTTGGGATTTGTTATACCATAAAAATGTCTGAATATTATGGCCATTTCTTCTCATACCGCACTTCCATGATTTGACAGGGTCTCTTTGACTCAAGGGTATATCGATCGTTGCTCGTTCTTATGGGGAGACGACAATAATACATGTTTCCAAGCGAACGATTGGGCAGTCACTGTGCACCTAAAAATGGGATATCTGCTGTCTTTCACTGAATTATCTAGGAGTACTTTTGTTTGTGGACCGCACACCCAGACACTCTGAGGGTATCTGTGTGAGCGAATGAGTTCCTCATGGATCTTTACTCTGCTAAGAATAATCTAAGGGCTACTCTGGAACGGTTTGCAATCTCTTGATTAGTCACAATGTTTTTCACTTACACCGACGATGTAAAGTGCACTGTGGTTCATTCCGCTGTCAAGCCTGAGGGAGTGGTGTGTCTACAAAATTTATTCATCGCACAACAAAGTTTGCTTGGCATCAATGTTCAAGCTGGTCAGAATAATGAAACATTTGAGGCCACGTGCTTCACCAGTTTCATTAGGTGACATTTTCGTATGCATGTGTTGTTAGGTTCGGAGAGGAATCCATCAAGTTTGGGTGTGCAAATGATACCACCGCCTAAGTTCAGGTACAAAAGTAAAATATACTGTGCATCAGTGTTTTTGACTTAGTTACTGCCTACTTTATAAGTAGTTGGAGAAAACGTGTATGCGCATATTCTTCAAATGGTTTCCGTACTTTTGTAGATTTGGTTTGGTCGATTTCGTTACATAATTTCGGTCAAAAGTAGGGGTTTCCATGAGCATCGGAGTGGTTTTTTAGGGGTGGGGGTCCCTATATGGTGGTTGGGGAATGAACGCGAAATCAAGTATAACATTCTTTGTGATATGCTTTATATTTTCATATTATATCTTATATATCTGCTTGATCCGGTTTTGAACGTAATTCTGATATAATAGCCATCGGGTAATAAGCATTACAGGAGTTCCAAACGCCCGACAATTTTACGGAGCTCCACAAACGCAAGTTTGTCATTTGCGGCAAAAGTTGCATGGTCCTGCTATGTACTGTTGCGTCACTCTGCGAGCTAGATGTGTGGACGGTTTTAGGTTATTGGTCGCGCAAACCATTATCTCTGTCGTAAAACATGAGGGCGTAAATTAACCCATCAACAAATACTAGCGTAATGGACAGTTTCCCACCTGTTTAGTCGGACATTGTTTAATTAGGGCATTTTGATTTCATCTCCAAATCTAGGAATTAAGGTGCCAGTTTTCCCGCATAGGAGAGTGAAGCCTAGATCGTTATATATTATAAAAACTTTGGTTTCAAAGATTTTTAACGACAAATATGAACTTTGAGTTTACAGCTCCAGTCAGGCAAACAGTGCCCGTTCCGTGTTAGCAACATCTTCGAGTGTTGATGTGGTAAAAGCAGTTGAAAAGATTGATTATGATGTGGAAGGTGTGTTCATTTTCAATGGAGATTTCTTCCTGTCAATGTAGTTAATCTAGCTGAAATTTTGAGATGTTAAGTTGTTTCATCCGTTAGGAGTTCTGGGTCAAAATCAGCTCTAAAAGTGTGGTGTATAATAAGGAGTTTTTATAATTATAAAGTCGAAACACAGCGTAGTGGAATAGGTTGTTGTGATCCGAGGCTTCGGTTCCCTTGGGCGAACATTCTCAAGGATTCCTACAACCAGTTGAATACGAGTCAAATACAGCGACATCTGGGTCGGCTACCGTGTCCTACGATTGATGCATCCCTGTGATCAGTTGGCAGTCAGATTGGGTCAGCGTGCGTGGGCGCGTGCGTACGTGTGATTGTGTGCACACCCTGATTAGGATGCGCTTCCATTAGTTATTGTTGTGCAGGTTGTGATGCGTCATTACAATTACCTTTTCCATTTTACTGTGTTTTGACTTTATAATTATAAAAAACTCCTTGTTGTTTTATCCTTGTTGGAAATCATCAGCAGTGTGCATCCCAGAAAACTCAGAGAGCTTCAAACCAGCTTAAATGATCGACGGAATATCGGTAATCAAGCGGCGTTGTACACACACATTCCCTGTTCCTGAATAAACTTTCATTAGTTTTCGGGATCATAGTGTTGGACTAGATTTCTCGTCCAGCTGTAACACCCTTCCGGTTCCTAGCTGCCCGTGCTAACCGAAGGGAGCACGAAGGCTGGGACACTGCCAGGTCGCCCAAGCCTAGGCAGAGGAAGTCGAGAGGCAGAGGTCGGGTTCGAACCACGGACATTCCGGTCGGTAAATTCGCGCTCTAACCACTGAGCCATCTTTTTTTTACTAGATTCCTCGCTTTGCAAACAAATGATTTCACGGACTATCATTGTGGTGGTCACGCGAATGTGCTCTGAATTACAAACAACTTAAGATTAGGATTTTCGGACGCAAACGAAACATGTATTCACCATATCTGAAAAGGCAAAGCGGTATGTAGAATAGCAGGTTCCACTCAGAATATTCAGTTTACACGAATATTAAACAGTCTCAGCCAATATAAATAAAGCATTAAGACGTTAAGTTAATCGGCCCCAGGAGTCATCATCCTTAATCGGGTCCCGAAGTTTACAGATGTAAGTGCGTTTTTAGAAAAAGATATTTTATCCCTGCTTCTTATTGAACTGTAAACTGCAAACCACTAAATGTTTTGGTTAACGAGGTATGAAAGCTGACCGTTGACTTCTAGGCATTTATCCAAGAATCCAGGTTGCACGAAGTTGAGCATATCGTCAAGAGCGATGAATATTTTGCGCTAATCGAGAAACTTGTTGCTGTCAAACAGAATTCTATATGACCTTTGCGCCCTCCCGGTTGTGGCTCACGTGGTTCTTTTGTAGGGGGATAGATACTGTGCAGAACAGTCTGTGCATTCTGTCACTTCCTAGCCGGACCGTTCAACTACAAATCAAATGTCGTGAGCTGGCCACGTGTGGCACAAGTCACGCAGAGGATGCTGGGTTAATCATTCTGTCGGTCCTTATTTCGACAAAATGTTCCAGTGTCTTTAAGTTAATGATGTTATTGATCGCCTTACACAAGGATACAAGGGTTTCCCGCAATCAGACATTGTCGTTCCCTTTTCAGTCCACTCTTTGCAAAATCTTGCTTCTCTCATGGCAGTTGAGTATCGGCAGGTACGGTTGCATAATATCGATAATATGACCGGCATACGTCTATCTTACGAAAAACATCATAAAGAAATTTATCTTTTCATATTTATTTCAGATTTTTCTGTCATTTGCTTCTTAGATTTTCAGCATAGATGAACCCTTTACGGGTTGAAGTATTCGATAAAATCCCAAAATATGTCCACACTATCAACGAGCTTTTATTGAGACCTTGCATATTTGACCACTTGCACAGAACAGTGTGGACCGCGATATCAGGCTATTGGCTCTTTTTATCCTCCAAAACGCATCTATTGTAACTCAAATCTTGACTTTTTTGGAACCTCTCCTGGTGATTACCAGACCAGTAGTTTTGATCGCCCATTTGGGGATACGCACCATATGTCTAAGTAATCAGGAAACCCAGCTGGTGACCTCAGTAGTTACAAGCATACGAAGGTCTTTTGGGCTCAATTGCAGTTTTGTTGCGAATATGCAGTAGTAGGCCATGGCGCCGCTGAGCAAACAGCTGCTTCCGAAAAGGTGACCGCTAGAAGAACAGCCCACAGGGCACAAAATCGTCCTCTACGACCATTAGACAACGCGAATGTTGAACAGCACAGGTGGTAGAAGGACACCAAATGCCCATTTCAGATAACTTTCGAATAGGAAGTATAAAATCAGATATCAAGCTTAAAATAGGTACTGGATCGGATGAGCAGTGTCAAGTTAACCTTCTATGGGAAGGCTCAAGTGTTTCCGCTCATGCGTTAGTCAAGTGTGAATATCTGCAGAATTCATCGAAACATTGGTACAAACTGAGATGCGTGAACATATGGATGTCAAACGCAATAAACCGCCTGCAAATACACATCAAACATTCAAGGTTAGGCAGAATCGACTTAAAACTTTGAATTTCTCTACTTCTAGTGACGCGGTTCTCCATGCTCGTAAAAGCAAATAGTCAACGGACAATCGGTGGTTCTTTATACGAAGCAATTTATTGGAATCTTTCGAAAGCGAACATAAACATCAAAGTAGCGTGAACGCAGCTCCTCAACTGAAAACAAAGAAAAGCATATGATTAGAAAGCAGATTGTGAAAACGTGCCACATGTTTTTGAAAATGGGACCATACCATAGCGCTTTGCTGCGTAGACCTCCACAAAAACGGTAAAAAAAGTCATCGCCGACATGCTTGACTAGGCAGTTCAAGAATGTATCAGGGCTCGCAAAAGTCGACTGCGATATATCGAATAGCGTACATAACTAAACATAGGACGTCCTTTAAGAAGCATATTATTTGAATAACAGCATAAACGAGGGATTTATTTTGCTTCTTTCTAAAACCTTTCCTTGCAAGGCTAAGCAAAGGAGCGGTCGTCTGAGTTGTAACATTTCCGATTTCCAACCGCAATGTACAATGTTCATCCACTGGACATAAAGAGTACGGCTACTCTACTACCAACGTATTGGTAGATTGACATGTTAGCTGACAGGGCTCCTATCGCAAACTCGACAGTCGCCGGCGTTGACAGCAATAGCATGGTAGGGTTGTCCCCTTCCACTCTATTTACCGTACAAAACTTTGAGTGAATAGGTACGTGAAAAAATATCTCCATCGCAAACCATAATAATGGACAAAAACTGCCTTATCGCGAAGACATAAAAAATGAGTATAAAGTGTCCCATTCAAATCCGCTTACTCTGACCAGGAACTACGTGAACATTAGTTTAGAACGCGTTCCGAATTAATTCTGTTGTGAAGATTTTGTAGACCCAGTGTGCATAGAAGTGGTTCATGAAGCGAAGGATAATGGAGTGCTAAACATTCACACTGTCGAACGTATCATGACAACAAACGGAAGCACATCCTAATCGGAGTACACACAATCATACAATCACACGTACACACGCACCCACGCACGCTGAGCCAATCCGATTAGGAACTGATCACAGGGATGCACCAAAGAGAAGACGCGGTAGTGAACCCGAATTTCGGTGCATTTGACCCGTATTCAATTGATTGTAGAATTCTTTGAGGAGGGTCGCCCACGGCAACCGAAACCTCGGATTACAATGACCTATTCCATTATGCTGTGTTTTGTCCTTATAGTTGAGAAATTCCATATTTCATGATTATGTTTCGTCGGGGTAGTTATTGGACAAACTCAGTGAAAATTGTGTAAAATTGAGAGAATCAGCTGTCGGATCTCTTCAGAGACAGTATCTTAAAAAAGGCTTATGTTTTTCTAAAGAAAACAATAAAGAAAGCTCTTTCAAAATATAAGAGAACGCTTTTAGTACGTTTGGGATGTCTTAAACTTACCTAGTAAACTAGTGAATCGTTTGTCGTGCCAACCATTTTTTGAAATTTTACAAATTAGCGACACTCAACATACAACGAGACCCGACAATTTTCGCTTAAAATGAATCAGATTGGCTTACGAGCGATCGATCCGAGCCTTACTATGAACGTGTTCGGCTTTAGTTGGCAGTAACAGTATCATTATGCTTTTAATGAAGTCAGTTACAATGAGTTCACCGACTGTTGCATTGAAAAAAAGCCAACATAATACACATGCTATCACACTTAGTTTTTCTAGATTATCACTCTAGATACTCTGTCGATTTTTAACGTCTTGAGATCCACAAGGACGAAGCTGCTTAGATCCATTACTCCTGTTTACACATCAACGATACATCGGAGTACATGATATGTTTATCCATGGTACGTTAGTATGAGTGCAGTTCATGCTAAAATAACCACTTCATCTAATCATTTATTCTTGGTTCGGAAATATTCGGCTTGCAATCAAAAGACACGTTGGGATAAATTTGTGGGGTAAAATTTCAACGGTTGCTATCAACACAACGTGCCTCTGGCTCAAGAGACTTTAAAGCGAATTACTTATGGTGTGCAGACCAAATGACAGTTACACCCAAGGTTGTTCTGATTCTGTTGGAATACGCATATGGCACCTTCACAGTCTATTTATCCATCACCAACTTAGTCGTCCATTTTGGGCCATCGCCGATATGAATAAGTGTGCAATAACATACGGGGAAAGTACGTGTGTGAAAATGAAAAGCAGAGTAATTTATGGATGACATCAATATTTCGCCGTTTTACATAATGATAACGCGGGCCGTACGGATATCAGCCTGATATCAGACAACTGGTAGCCCTCAACAGGCCACCGCAACGATGCCCATGAAAAGCGGGATGATCGAATGAAGCAAAGACCGCATATGGAGAACAGAATGCATTAGGTAGTTTAACTTAGGCCAAGCCAAAATTTCAGGAGAATATCGCGCGCAGAAAAAGTAAGTGGATATTCTTCCAAAACGTCCTTTGGTCGAACAACGGTCTCGCTTACTAGTCAATGGTCTTCCTGAAGGTGGAGGACTGAGTGATTCCGGACTCTCCGTATAAGATTCTTCCGGCTTTTGTTTTCCATCACAATGCACAAGCAGTGCGTATCCGTAGGAGCCTGTCATATTTCGATTTATATCAGAGCATTCATGAGTCACTTTGGGTCTTCTGTCGGACCAGACTGTCGGACAGCATTGTACCGCAACGGAAGAATAAAGCTGCACGTTCCATTCACACGCAAGGGGATAGTACCATTCCGGCTTCAGAGGTATTATGTCGTTATATATAGCCTGTGCGTTTAAAAAATATCAATACTCTAGACTCAAGGCCTGGTGGCAGTTAATCATGGATGATAGGAATAAACGGCATAATTTAATGGGGTTTGACGTAAGAAAACTAAACGAAACTAGTGTGTTTAGGTTACCAAGGGGAACCAAAGTTAACGGTTCAAAATCTACTTCAAATCTCTTACGTGCTACGCAAAACGTCGTCCTTGCAAACAACTCAGGCTGTCATATATCGCTAGGGTTGCAAGTGGGAAAGCGCTTTGCCGTGAATTCGTTTATTATCAAACACCAACTAAGCAGTTACAAACCACTGGACAGGAAAGTAAACGTCTCATATGCACATAGTTTCTAAAAACCGAACATTCTCACGCGTCTTCTTGAACTTTCATGAAACTCCATTGATTCCTACGCAATTGCAAACAAGCACTACAAGGCGGTTCCACAAGTTTCGCCCCATTAGACGCAGGCGGAGCTTCGAAAAGACCACAGGCTACTCACGTGCCTCATCAGTAGTACCCTCAGTTACACAGGTAGTTCAACTGAGAGAATATATGTAGTGAAACAGTTTACGGCGTACGAGGTCTGTCTTTGAAAAAAACATTAGAACTGGAAGTATGCTGTACGGAAGTTAAAGGGGCCGCTGCATTCCATCAGCAGCTTGCACTTTGTTGATTGGTGTGAAGAACAGCGGTGATGCATTACAGTCATTCTATCCAGTATACCGCTCATCTCTCGAGTGTTCTGAACTAAAGAATTTCACCGAAACTTATTCATAGACCATCATTCACTTTAAAAGCTGGTGTGCTCACTCATTTTGTTGACCAATAAGATGAGCATCTTTGCACATACCCAGTGGGAAATAAATGTCTGTACTTCAATAGAAACTGACCTGGTCGCTCTGATAAAAAATTTTGTCCCTTTTCAACCTTGCAATGATCATCCGCTCGCTAATAGCATCCCATCTGACATAACGCATTCTCCAGAGATTCATCAGAACAAGACCAGAATTTACACCTGTGGGCTGAATTGCAAGAGAAGTGAAAAGTTTGATAAATATTACAGAGGGCTTGGAAGGTTCAGGCATGTGTTTCATGACTTAAACGCTGTTTTACTATTATTCAGTGACTTAAGTCCGATTGATCTTGGTGATATTTATTTCCGTTATATATATATATATGGTGCATAATCCTGATTCTTTCTGCACTGTATAATAAATTTAATCGCAAGCATGTGTCGCAGTCAAAAGTGGTTGAACTTGTTCGTATTAATACTACATTCACCAGGTATTCTGTTGCGTCCGCTGATCATTACTGTCAAATAAGTCCAGAAGCAGGAGAGTAAAACAATGGATGTTTGTTGAGGACGACGTTCAGAACTGTTAGCACTTTAGTTTGTAGAAACTGTCAGACTTACCGGAATGACCACTTTCGAACTTCTGTTGCAACCCAAGTCGTCGGACTGTTGCTCCCACGCTATTCCAATCATCTAGAAAACACGACGTTACCAAAAGGCATATCCCGTTTACCCTAGCGGCAGAATTTATCAGATGTGAGTCGTAGTACTTGCGTCACAACTTATGCAAGACCTCAGGTTAGGCTTACGCAACATAAAGCACCAAATTTATAAAAATGTAGGTGCAACTATTCGCACACCGCGCGGCATAAATTACTTGTACATTTGTCCCTGGCTTTTGACCACTCATCTGAGGTCGTATGTACGCTGTGGACATTCTGGTATCATTTATTAAGGACAGCACGGTACCAATCATTGTGGAAGACGCCGTGTGGTAGCTACATGGGACTTTGGTCGGACTTCTCTGAACAGAAGCTTCTAGTCATCTCCATTTATTTTTTCGGGTCCACAGTTCATCGAATCTTTCAACCCGCGAACTAAGTCCCACAGACTCCCCAAATTGTTGACCTTTAGTCCGTCGAACTATTATGTGAAAAGAGCCTCCATTAAAAACTAACTCATTGTTCAGTTCATTACGTCCAGCTGAGCGGAAAATCGATCCCTTCAAATGTAGGGCGTTGGATGGGGTCAGAAAACAGTTGCGTCTGTTTTGATTTCCCTATTTTATCTCAGCAAGAAGTGACACGAATTTCAGGTCACAGGCGGCTCATGGCCGAACGGTTAGGTACCCAAACTACTAGCCGAAAGATCGCGGGTTCGAGACTCTCCGGAGTTTCGTGAGATGCACTCTACTGATAAGGATAAAGCAGCTGTACAGTGCTTCTAGACTTTTCAGGTTGGCTTCACTTACAGGACGAAATTGCCACAAAAAACCCAAAACCTCTCACACTATTAACTGCACCATTCTGTAAACATACATGAGCATATACGATAGTTTATCCCTGCTAAGTATCAAGTAGTAGGCGCTCAGGACCACGTTTGGTGGAATGCGAAGTTTTGACTTAGTGCCTAAGCAATCAAATTATGAAGCAAATTTAAATGATCAACTACGTCAGATATGTTTCAAAGATCCAGCTTACATGACTTCAGCGAAACCAAACAAAGTAGGTATGGTCAAAACCAGCGAAACTGGAACACGAGACAGATCAACCGGTTTCTTTCAATAGAAATACCAGATTTAGAGCTTTTTGACACATCAAATTACCAGAAATGTTGTCGTCAACTATTGAGTTTCTCATCATTGACTTTGCTTTTCCCAAAAATCATCACATTGGTGCAGTTCCAGGTTTTCGTCAACCTCATATGCAATAAGTGCACACTAAAGGGTCAAAATGTACTCATCTGCGAACTAACAAGCAACTGACTTTATGATGAACATCGACCTTGAAGGATAGATTTCTAATAATTTTTCTAGAGCAACTTTCAAAAAATAACTTTAACCTCCAAGCACTCATTATTTTATAAAGTACCATACAAGCAAACCACCATACAGTGGAAGCATGACCGGCCCTTAGTGATTTAGTTACACAAAGTCTTTCTTCTGTCAACATCAGGCGTTCAGTTTCCAGCTTTGAGACTTGGAATCAGTTTCTTCTCCCTTTTAGCCACCAAGTTTAAACACCAATAATCTTGTTGTTTACTCACCCAGGTTCACACTTATTCACGTTTAAAAACCTTCAGATTTAGAGAAATCATGCCTGAAAACCAACTCGAGTTTTGGATATTCCATTCCACCATGTTTGCTTGTTCCATCTAAAAGTTTTTTTGGTTGCAGCGGGGGCCTCATTCTCAATTAATTGCCAAAAGATTGCGGGGATAAAACTACTATTTTCTGATTCGCATCAAGCACAATTCTCTTAACGGGGCTGGACATGTTGGCTTCAGGCTAGTTCAGGATGCCAAACTCAGTCAGTAACAATATATATGTAAACGAGATGGCAGCCTCTTAGTAATCTAGAATGTTGCGATTATCTGAAGACCATGGCTGACTGGTATAGCACACGCGATTTGCAAGCACAAGTTGTCCGTCTTGACAAGATTGAAGCCAGCTTTCAAATCAGAACTTGTTGTCTGCCATCTGGTGAGATATCACTGTAAATGTTCGCAAGCCACTTGATGCATAGACCAAGTCGTCAATCTTGTTTGAACACTGTCCTACAACTAGAACAACCAAACACACACGCTCCGTGAACCCAACTAGAGTGATCATAAGTTCGATGTCCCAAGAAGAAAAACCTGATAGGTTGTTACGGCAGAACGCTTCTAATTGTAAATCACGGAGCTTGACGATTAACGTTTATGGTGTGATGGAAATTCCAGCGGATGTTACTGAGCGCTTTACCATTTGAGGACACTTAGGGGGTGACACCAAACCAAAATGTTGCAGAATAAAGAGCTGGTACTTCTGTTACCAAGCGGGTAGCCAGTGGTGCTGTATTTACTTCGAACCGCTGTTGAAGTCTCCGATTTGCGACTGCAAGCTTCAACTTTATATATTCTTGTCCACGGCTACGCATACTTCAGAAAATGGGTGCTCACGGGATAACCTAGTGCCAAAAGAACCTGTAGAGTCACATTCCAATAGGTTTGGATTTGGATAGTGATGCTCAGGTTCCATCGAATTAGTTTAGCGGCACCGAGTACCCCAGCTCCCTTCGTACTCTTGGTCAGCGAACCAATAAAAATTGGGTTTGCCCTGCAAAGTACATGTGAGACCCTTTTAATTTATACTTTATCCGTTAGTTAAGGTGGTATGCGTGAAAGTGGAAACGTTCAGCCTGTCGGCATAAAGCCAAATCGCGTACCGACCTGGGTTACAAAGTTCACATGACTATATTGTGAGAATCAAAGTCACCAGATCACCGCTTCAGAGTAGTGGCCAATTATTCGGAGAGGCAAATGCACTCAGAAAGTAAAGAGGGACAAGCTACGGGGATATGAAATGAGAGCAAACCGCCAAGGTGCACCCAGTCACCTGGGAATGCGCAATGATGTAGACGCTCAAAACTGGCTAAAACAGAACATCCTGGTAAGACATGGATGTAAGTGGTCGGTATGAAGATTGCAGGTATGCGGAGTAAGGATCACCCCACCTCGTTACCTGAAACATCAAGGGAAGGGAAGCGGCATTGTGACAACTATAATTTGCGTCACGGCTTCGAACCTAGACAGTATATAAATGACAGTGTGTAAGAACTAGGGTGTGCTCAAATAAAACTTTATCCAATTATTTGGCTCTTTACTACATTTCGATAGGAAAACTATCAGTTCAATAGTTTGGAAATAGATGATGCCTGCGGATACTAGGTTTAAAGAGGCCCTCGTTGGTATAGTAACGAAATTTCACGACCGGACCTATTTCAGTGCCATTAGAAAAAATGTAACCTTTGCCTGTAAACATCACAAACGAGATATTCAAATGGCTCCAATTGAGTCTGTCGAAGAACCAAATTAGTTTGCAAATGAGTGTATTGCGCTAATTTCGTGCAATTTGGTTTCAAGTAGAACATAAAGTTTACGGAAACTCGAAGACAGCCTACCTGATGAGCCCCAAGAAGGGCGAAGCCGGTCGTGGGCTGTCGATCTTAAGAGTAGTGCATTACTAATTTCATATGTTTATTCCAAAGGCGAGCTTTCCCCATGTCCGTTCCATCCAACTTTTAACCATGTATGTTTTGACAATAATCGAAAATGCCACTTGACCGAGGTTATTATGAAAAATTCACAAGGCAAACAGTTCTCTGAGCTGGCTTGCACAGCGCTTACTTGTGTTGAATTGAATCTGTTAAAGTGGTTCCACAGAGTGTATATATTTTCATTCCAAAGAGTGTCAGAATCTACCACAATTGTCTGGAAAGCAAAAAAATGTCAGTACACACGTTGTTGTAAGATGCCTGACATCAGAGATATCACCGAATTCTGACCACATCCAAAAGTAACGGAAACGTTTCCTTATGCAATCGTTCCAAGGATACTGAAGCAGGCTTTTGTTTTTTTGCAGACCAACATGTACGTTCAAATATCCAAGATCACACCGGATAGAACATCAACAGAATTGAGGTCAGACTTTCATTTGTGGGAGGAATTCTATTTAATGGGAGTTCCGTCATCTGGAACATAAGTCTCTATTTTGCCATGGCCAAACAGACGAAGAATCATCTAATAAAACGGTGTTTTTGAAGGAAAAACACAGCGGATAGGGCATCTACCGGTTAGATTTGAAAACGAATCAACAAAATTAGCTGCTGATACATGAAAGCGGTTTGGCTCTACTAATTGACCTGTCCTAAGATATGACACTCGGGTTAACCGAGAATTATTCAGTTATCCAAATGACGAGGGGATTCACTCATCTGATAAGTATTGCACAACTTGCACCAGATAGCGAGGGCACGAGCTGAGCGGACCGGCAAACTGTTCCTCTGAACCGCTGACTGGTCCGACAAAAATGATCGACACACAAAGCATCTGGCATTTGGAAATAACGGCACTCTCATTGCTTTAGTCCTCACTATTGCAGTGAAGCAAGAGAGCAGACCGAACACTATCGACATGGCATGAACCAGCACGCATGAGTGATGAGCAGTGAGGAAAATAAATTGAAAGGCCTGAAGAAACTGCTTTTCGTGGACTGCACAAATAAATGTAAAAATATCTTAAATTCATTAACAAATCAAGACAGCTACTGAACAGACCACAAGAACACTGCCAGCATAGAACCGCGAGGCCGCTGGGAAAGGCGTGATTTCACAGGTTACCTGTAAGGTGGCCCAAAAGTAGACAACATACTTCTTAAGCAAGGCATATCCTCTTACAGAGAGACTTTCCCTCAGAATTTCCAGGCTCTCAAACGTTCCAAATAAAGAAGATGAGAGCAATTATAATTGCATTTTCCGGTGACTCATGTGGGTTGTTTCCTGGTGCAGATCCTACTCAGTCGAGTTGACTGCTGAATTGGTCGAAGAAAATGGTTCAGAAGACGATTGTGACTTTCATGCTTGTCGCAGCACAATGGAACCGACAAGTATTGCATCTTAGCTTTGGGAGACCTAACCTGAACACCCTTTCCTATGAACTGTGTAAACTGCCTGGGACAATTTTCATTCGATATGGCTCTCCAGCCATACTTATGCATCATTTCTGGAGATCTCAGCGACGGAGTGAGAGCATGTGAGTTACGTTTATGCTACTTTGAAATTGTCACGGGCCGTCTTCTTTCATCAACAATGTTTGATTTCTCTTGTGGTGGTTTTGAAGGCGCCTTTCATATGTAGATCGAATATCTACTTGGTAGATCGCGTTCGGCATCTTGTCCGCAAACCTGATGTTTGAGTTTGATTTTTGGCGCTTCTTGTGTATTCTCTGCCCGAACCATTAATGGATCGCTAGATTCGTGTAGGAAGTTCGCGGCCGTTGCCTCAAACTGGTACAAAATTACTCGCCGTTCACTGCAAAGTCGTTCATTAGCGAACACGATCTATGCGGCTAAGAGCCATTGGACACAAAAGTAAATATCCCAGGTATACAGAATTTTGGACAAGTGAACTTCCTCAAGCACCTTCTTGAATCTTTCTGGACGTCCTTTGAGTAGTAAACAATGATAGACGAACACTTCAAAGCCGTTCCACAATTTCGTTAGTAAACTCTACCTTCCATCAGCCGCGGAGCTGGCGCTTGGACACCAGACCGGACGCTACTCGAATGTCTCATCAGTAGTATACGATGTTACACTGGCATATTCGACAACATGGGAAAGCTTGATCTTATATGCCGACTGGAGTCTCCAATACATCGTACCTCATGCAAAATGAAACAGATTCCACTGTCGTGCGCTCTCTCATCAAGCCACCTGGTGATGTCTTTGCAGATTGTGAGTATAGATAACATTTTGAGCATATTACATATGCGCACACATATGTGGTTTACAATGCTTTTGCGAGGGGTTTTTGAGCTATAAACAACTGAAACGTTGTAGAACAATGCCTCCACAACAGGCGCATTGTGAGGTGACGGGAGTCCTACGGCGGTATCCGGGACATGAATATCAATTGGAGAGGAACACTAGCTTAAGTTAGCTTTTGGAAAGACACTGTACTAGCACAATGCACAATTCCAGCGAGGGGAGGTAGAACTCGGGTGCTGCATCTACTATTCCTATTTGATATACCAATAGGCATAATAACCCTATTGATTTGAAGGACTTCCAATAAAACATCTCACATGTCAATATTCCATACTTAGTTTACAACTCAACACAAGGTACCCTAAAATCGGAGGACATGATGCTAACCCATGGCCACGCCATGATAATCTACACACACTTGACCGATTATTATAAAATACTGAACGCGAGGAACGCCTTTCATAGCATTCACGAACAGTCGGGTAACCTTTGTAAGATTGTGCAAGCTCAAAGATGGCACCCACTGAAGTGATTGCTTGCAACTACAAATCCTCGGTCATTTGCAGACAAAAGTTATTAATTCAGGTACCAGACATTCCAAAACGCAGTCATTCCGTATGGTAGGCTGCCGTCGGGTTACATTTAGACCAGGTCGTCTAAATATAAACCACTCCACCCCTGCACACAGCAGGAAATGCTGAGTGCTGCCTGCAATGAACCGCGTGTGCAACAGACCAAAAGCTCCGTACCTAGTTTTCACCCGATGAAGCAGGAGAGGAGAGTTACCAGGAGGCCGCAGTCCATAATTTTTTAGTCCATTTGAGAAACATCATCTGGGAGTTGTAGTTCGGTTGCCGCATCATTCATAAGATGCGCCCAGTGTACCTAGAGCTTACTGTGGAAAATTAAAGAAAATCTGGTCTAGTTCAGATATAAAAATGCCACTGGATTTTCAGTGTACGCATCGGGTAGGCTTGGCCAGAGGCCTGCCCTATCCATAAGCCGAACCCGGGTTACACTCGCATGGAGTTTTGTCATTGGCATGGTTTGACTGTGCTTGGTCCTTACGTTGAGTCACTTCCGGTACCATTACAGGCTTATCGCAGGAATGTGTACGGCGTAGTTGAACATTTCGCTTTGTTTTGCTCTGCGAGACGCCAAACACTAGAATTTTGCTCTAGCTCCGTCACAGAATGAGCTATTTGACAACACCGGAAATCCAGGACAGGTCTGACAAACATTCTCTGTCCACCGATGGATCACTGTGAGCTCACCCATGTTCAACCCATCGGAAGAGACCGGAAAAAGCTCTACGTCTGATACCGCACATCCAATATGTTTGTCCTCCAGGTTCAACAGCACCATTATGACCCGGCTTCTTGTGGGCTTCAACTTTGTGGCTCAAAGTCGTTGATTGCTGAATCAGTAAACTCCAGGTCAAGTCATTCCTCCTTTCAGTTCGCAAAATCCACGTTGGTAACTTTCAGGCTCTTAACCAGCGTGTCTAAATGGTGCCATTTTTCCCCTAAGGGTTCTGGTTGTAAAGCCGTTAAAAGAGACTGACTGGCCACCAATTTTCTTGCAAACATTCTGCCCATTAAGTAGTTTCAACAAGGTGCGGCGTCTCGGCATAAAGTAACGCACAACCTGGTTGTAGCGAATCTTCAGCGCTTGGTTCTGGTGCGCAGTGTTCTAGTTTCTCATAGTTAACTTGGTATTATGGTGGGAATTGACACTGCTAATCAGTCATCCCAAATTTCGCTCCCGTTTACACAAAACTGCGTTAGTTCAGAATGATAGAATGGCGCTTTAACTGAACCGCAAAATTATAGTGGTTCTAAAACCAGTTAGAGCAATTAACATTTACACGGGAAGAATAGACGTAGCTTCCTTCTACAGATAGAGGACGATAGTCGTGAATTCCATTCCGTCAACACGTGTTCGTCGGAAAGTCCCATGTTTGGCAATCATTTAGGTCAGCTGATACCGGTGACTGCACCAGGCAGTACGTATGAAAGCTGCTCAGGTGGCGGATGTTGTGCTGGTGTATGTTGAGCGCTGAATACCGTACAAGAAGACATATGGATATAGTTTAATTTCAAATCGTAGGATCCAGTTACTCCACCAACGTTTTTCAAGTTTTCTCAAATCCAACTCAGCGCTGTCACTGAATATCAGCTGACGGTCAGCTGTCAAGTCAGCAGACAAGTTGCGTGTGGGGTAGCGGAAGCTCATACAGTAACCAACGAGCTCGGTGAAATCAGTTGACAGAGAAGGAAACCGCTCTCTTCTTTGTGAAGTGTACATTTACCAGCGTCCAGGCCTCATGCGAAGTCAAAGGGAAACATATGAAGCCTGCTTCATAACAACGGTTAACGTGTTTCATTCAAATCAGGTCGCAATTGTCCATTTAAACGAGCTTCATCACACACTCTAGTTTCGATAATGCATGCAGACATTGTTTGGCCTCTATTGTGAAGAGATTTCGTCCTGCCGAATCAGTTTATTTTCTCATTAGATTATTGTTTCCTGTTTAATTCTCGTATCAGTTTTCGTTTACATATATGGATGTTGGTATCACGGATAAGGTGCCTGACTGAAATCAGTCATCAATAACAGAGAAAAGCTTTTGTCCTAGTCCATCTTCAAACAAAAAGCAGATCGTATGGGAGCCAGAATGCGATATCATGTGATGATATCAATCGAATCGACTGAGTCATTTTCAAGATTATGCTTTGGAAAACAACGAGCTTTCATTTACAAAAGAAGCAACGTCTTCTGTTCTCAGCCGCTTGCCTAGACCAAGAAACTTGAACAGATCAGTCTGAAAACGACTCACGGCAGAAAAGCTTACTTTCTCGAGCCAGTGGGGCAGAATATAAGGAGCCCAAAGCTTTGCCATTGCCGTGGGTCCCGAATGGTGTGTGTTTGGAATATTTGCCGAAAAGTCCTGAAAGAAGCGGCGAGTTGCAAAAAAAACAAGTAAGTTGGGAATTAGGATGACTCAGGTATTGTATCGTCTGGTGAAGGCTAAGATAAGCGAAAATAAAGCGTACACGGGGCTACGTTGGACAGACACCGTATCCAGTGGAGCGGATCACACTGCATACAATTTTATCATCTGAATGTCGGCACAAGCGGCGAGTGCAAAAAAAACAAGTAAGTTGGGAATTAGGATGACTCAGGTATTGTATCGTCTGGTGAAGGCTAAGATAAGCGAAAATAAAGCGTACACGGGGCTACGTTGGACAGACACCGTATCCAGTGGAGCGGATCACACTGCATACAATTTTATCATCTGAATGTCGGCACAACTTTCCCTTACTATGACAACTAGCTCTGCGATCTGGCATCAGTGCTTTTTATTGCTAAACGTTTAGGATAACGAGACAATCTTCAAATGCTTTACATCATTCAACAGGGAACAAACATATGATCTACCTGCAACCGACGAAGTGCGTGTGTTGGTTTCAGTGTTAGTTACATAACATCCTGAAAGTTTCGCCAAAATGTATTGGCTTTTCGAATTAGTGTCATACCTCTTACATCAAGAATTTCCGAAATGTGACGTTTCGGGATGCTTATTTGCCGACTGTCTTTTGCCTGCGATTTCTTCAGTCTGTGCAGTACGTTTACTTTTACAAATAATGATCCTGTTGTTCCCATCAATTCTAGACAGTTTTAGACATTTATGGAGGCAAAATTAAAATCATATGGGCTTACACATTCATCCTGTATAACAAGGCCATTTTTTACGGTAAATTTAATCATTCCAGTTTGTTTTCCTTAATCCTATACTAATGGTTTATGCTTTAACGTGATCTGTGTTCTTCGGTGTCCCAACCAAGGGCTACAATCAGCGGAACTATTCCATACTGATCCTTATTATGATTCTTACTGTCATGAACCTAATGGTCCATATAATTCTTGCTTGAGATCTTCAGCAGTGTGAAGCTCATGGAATACCAGGGAGATTTGAACCTGCCACCTCACGACAAGTCGGCGAAAATTGATTCGTTTGACAGTGAGCAGCAGATCAGCAGTTTGACTAGACAGGACACATCGCTACTCATTCTTCCATAGCAGAATTCCCATTATGTGAAGGACTCTTCGAGTAGTGGATTCCCAGACGGAAAGTTTGCGTCACGTGAAATATCCTTTATTTGTATGTTACCAACTGAGGAGCATCTGCCACAGTAAGGGGTGTCTGACAGGTGCTCATCTAACCTGCTTGCCTGCGCAGCAAACAGGACCTCGTTGCCCCTGGCTGTTTTGTGTAAATATGAATTTATTGTTTTTGAGAAATACACTCATTTGCAAATCAATTTGTCTTTAAGGAGAAACTCAACTGAATCTCTCGTTTTTGATATTTTACAACTGAAAACAGTTCAATTTGGGTTAAAGTAGAACATAAGGTTGACGAAAACTCGGGTATGCGCTTACCTAATGAGCCCCAAGAATGGCGAAACCACTTGTGGGCTGTCGACGATTTTTCAGAAACCGTGTG